TGCTCACAGCACAGGCGCCCTGCTGGGAAGAACGAGGCACCGCTTGCAGGAGGAGCGCAGGCGCAGGGGCCTTTCTCCCGCAGGCTGCGCCTCGGTCCGGGCTGGGCCTCCAAGGGCCCCGATCCCAGGTGCGTAAGGGTCGCTTGCCTCCCCCCACCCCCGTGCACGTGGCTCGAGGGGAAACGTCAAAGAGGCGGGCGAAGAGGAGGACGGATAATCCGGCAGAACCGGTCCTGCCCGAGGAGGATCCAGTCGGCGGGCGAGGCGGCTGGGCGGTGGGGGGCCCGGCGGGCAGGCTGCGTGGGCACGGCCCCGGGCTCTGCCCTGCCCACCGCTTTGCGGCGCGCGGCACTTGTGCGCTGACCGCGCTGCCCGGCAGAACCGCCGCGGAGCAGGGAAGCTGAGCGCCGTCACGGCAAATGACAGAAGCGGGCGGAACCAGCGGCTCGCCCCATCATCCACGGGCGCCTTGGAGCCAGGCACCCGGGCGGGGAGTCCAGAGGCTCGTGGCGGGGGGGCCTGGAGGCCACTGCCCCCGCGTGGCGCTGCTCTGCCCGCCCCGCCGGGCCGCCCCGGGGCCGGAGAGCAGCCGCGGGGGGCGAGTGACGCGCTGCGCTGGGCCGCGTCCCGCCCGAGCCGCGGGGGGAGCAGCGAGGCTCCGGACCGGGCGCCGGGCCTCGGGCAGGGGAGGGGAGCCGGGCCCGGGAGGGAGCCGAGCCGAGCCGAGCCGAGCCGGCGCCCGCCTTCCTGGCAGGCGGACATTCACCCGGGGAAGCCGCCTCGGCCCCGTCCCGCGCCCGCCCACCCGCCCACTGCGCGCCGCGTCTCCAGCAGGCCGGCGGAGACGATCGCGCCCGCCGGGGCAGAGCCACCTCCGGGGCAGCCAGGCGGGCGCAGCACCGGTCCGCGAGGGGCTCTCCGAGGGGGCTTCGCTCCCCGGCGGCCCCCGGGACGAGCACGCCGCCCCTGACGCCGGCACGGCCCCCCACTCCCCTCCACGAAGTCGCCCGGCCCCCTCCGGAGCCCCCGAGCTGGCGGCCACCGCACGCCGCGCCTCCGACGGCGCCCCCTCTCGCCTGCCCCGCGCCGCCCCCCGGGGGCCCCGCCGTGCGGGCGTCGCCCGCTCTGCTGCCTCACGCCCCATCCGGTCTGCCCCGCGCCTTTTCTCGAAGCGGCGTAAGTGGTTGCGGCCCCTCCCGGTAGGGGCGCGCTCCAGCCCCCGAAGCATTTCGGTTGCGCTTTCTGCATGTTCCCCATCCCCGAAGCGCCCAGGGCGGCGCGCAGGATCCTACGGGTGGCAGGAGGCCGCTCCGCTTGCGATGCCTTCCCTTCCAAAGCGCCCCCCCCCCCGACACCCCCACTGTGGGATCAGCCTGGCCAAAGTTGCTGCTGCCCAAAGCACCTCTCCAGGCCAGCCCGGGACACCGGCAAAGTCCAAACCCAGAGCAAATATTGACAAGATGCTGGGAATAAAATCACCAGGCCAGCGTTGAAAGGGACGGGGGGGGGGCACTAGGGGATGTGAATGGGCTTCCCCCCTCTTCCCCTCCCAAGACACAGCCAGGATTTGGTTTGCAGGTGCGGCCCCAAAGGAAGGTGCATCGATTCGGCCTCCTGGGCCGTGTGGCACTTCCCTGCCCTGCTGTAGCGCGAAGGGTGGGGGGGCTCCAGTCGCGGTGGGGGGGGCGAGGCCCGCCATCCATCCGGTGCCTGCAAGGACTGTATCAGCCTGGAGAGTGAGTGCCGTGCCCTGCAGAGGCGCCCACATTTCGGCCAGGAAAAGGGGGGCGTCCTCCCCCCTTCCCCGGTCCTTTGGACAACGGACCCTCGCGGGAAGCCGCTCTCTCCGCGCACCGAGGGGCTGTGGGTGCGAAGTCGGGGGTGCCCACAGAGCTCAGCTGGCCGGGGCCCAGTGCCTCTGCCGGGACGGCTGGCTCAAGATTAAGCAACAACATTCAACCCGGACCGTTTTGAACGAGCCACGGGCTTTGAAAGAACAAAATCGGACAGCTTTCTGATATTGCAAATGTTCGTAGGCGAAAGGATGGCTGAGCTGGATTTTATCCCTCGCTTGGGAACGTTGCAGTGAGTTCTGCCTTTCATATTCTGTGGCACGTCGTGGGAGGAAGAAGCAGGAGAGATACTGGGAGAAACTGGAATTCAGGACAGATCAAAGAAGTCCTTCCTGTCCCAACAGACAAACTCTGCAATTCACTTCCGCAGAAGTCGTGAAGCCCCCCCGCCCCCACGGGACTGGCCTGATCCTGATCCTCAGAGGAGAAAGCTGCCTGGGCCGCTTGTCCTGAGAGCGCCACGCTGCCTCCAGTGGGAGAGCAGCGTGCCTGTGTTTACTGGTTGCTGGGGAACATGGGCGGGAGGGAGCTGCTCGTGAGGTGCCAGACCTGATCCTGCAGCGCCCTTCTGCTGGTCTTCCCAGGAAGGCTGCTGACAAGCTTGCCCACGTCAAATTCTGCCTTTCCCTCCTCCATCCCATCCAGTCGCAAATCCCATATCATGTGACAACCAGCCCCTCTGCACTCCCCTCTCCCTGTGCCGTCGCACCACCTCCACGCCGGGGTACCATTCCCCACCCCTACCTTGGGCTTTCCTGGGCCTTTCCCCCTTAATGCACATTTAGACCCCCAACTCCTAAAGACGGCCATTCCTACTGGAAAATATCCCCAGAATTCACCTCTGCTCTGCACATGTGCAGAGCGCCGTCCCCTCACCTCTGAGAAACGTTGACCAAATAGGACCCAGATGTTCGGGCCAGAGGTTGTGGTTTTGGGGAAGGCTTGAGCCTTCAAACCTTTTACATTTAGTTGCAAATCATACTAGAGTCTTAACATGAGCCGCCCCGAGGCTTCGGCGAATGGGGCGGCATAGAAATGTTTTAATTAATTAATTAATTAATTAATAATGTTTAAGCAGGCTTCTAGCATTTCTATCCCCTTATGTTACTGCTAGTGGGTGACATGATGCAGGTTTCGCAAAGATTTTAAATTGGCAGATACAAACATATGTATATAAGAAGACTCCCCACCCCACAATTTTAGCAGTTTTGTGGCACCCCCCTTTTGCCACGGTGCACACGGCCACCCGCGAGCAAAATAATTCCTGGCGCCGCAAAGAGGCACCAGCGCAGTCCAGAGGGCGGCCTGTGCGCGTCTCCAGCCCTGCTCTGGCCTCAGGTTTGGCCTGCCTTGGGCAAGTCGCTGCCTGCCTCCTTTAGCTCCTTCCATCTGTGAAATGGGAACACCGATGAACCGCAGTACAGAGCGCACCTCCGAAAGTCAAACTGCCACGGAAAGAATCAAAAATACGTGTAAATATAGAAAGCAGGGTCCTGGGCGGAATAGTGTCGTTTTTAGAGCATTTTGTGCTTGTTGGGAGAAAGCCAGGTTCACCTAATTCTTTCAGGGCGTCTTGTGGCCCTGCAGCGAAAGCATGGGTCAAAGGCTGGGAGTCGCTGTGAGGACTCCCCGTAGGGGGGAAGGTCCGGAAGCTTCTCCCTCGCACGAAGACTGAAGTGCCAGACATTAATTTTCCTGACTAATAATCCCCAGGAAGTCCATTCAGAAGTGAGCAAAACCTGGAGAATTTCCTGCGTGAAGAAAGGCTTTTCCAGAGAAGAGAATACAAGAGAGAGCAGGACTGAAAGGAGGTGCAATGATCATTAAAGGAGAGATTGGGGGCGCGGGGGGGATGCTACTGTCCTCAGGGAAAGGAGTCAGAGGGATGAGCCGCACCAGGGCGGCTCAAAAGGTGACCCGCGATCACAGGTGTGCGGCTGTGAGCGGAAGGGCGGAAGAAAACAGGAAGGGAGAAAGTGAGAGGCGACATAGGAACTCGAGGGAGAAGCCGAGCAGGGGGGGCTCCGAGGAACAGGCAGCAGCTCCTCTGGGGGGCCTCGGGGGGCTCTGCCGTGCCGCTCACCTCTGCGAAGGGGTCCGTGCGGGGCCTCGGGCGCGGAGGCGGCTCCCTCGTCCTTTTCCTTGTTCGTCCCGTTGCCTTTCCTCTCTTCCTGCCCCGGACCGGCAGCCGCAGCCAGGTGGGTGTCGAGGCTCCTCCCCGCTCCCTATCAGCAGCTCACCTGGGCGGGCCAGGTAGATGCAGCGGGCTGGCTTCTCGCGCTGGGAGGTACAGAAGGCCCCGGGCACCCGCTCGCCCTCCCACCGGGCCAGACGCAAAGCGGCCCCCGGGATG